TGAGGTGTGAGGGTGTGAGTATATCGTGTTGGAGTGTGTGAGTATGTTGAGTATTTGTCAGTGGTGAGTATTGTAGTGTGACGTCTTGATGCATGTGCCTTAGTGCGTGGAGTATGTGAGTGGTGAGCGTGTGAGGGTGAGTGGAGTGTGTGGGCCGGGTGGGCGGGTGGCGGTGGCTCGTGGTTTGCGTCGTGCGTGTGGTTCGCTGTCGGGCGCTTCCTTAGTCTCTTCTTTCTCCTCCAAGTGATAGAGAGCTGAGTACTTGGGACGTTGGTGTGACTGTATGATTGATGGGAGATTGGAGTATAAGGTAGAGTCTTGGCTAAGCTGTTTTAGAATTGGGGGTCTGAGAACCCAGAGTTTTTTGGTTTGTAATTGTTATGAGTATTTGAAGAATCTGATATGGAATGGTTTCTTGAATAGATCTATGGAAGCTTTCTTACGAATACTCACTCTCTGGTCATTATGGTATCTTATGTCGTTCTTTGTGTGTTGTTCTATCTTGTAGATGTAGCTAGATTTATGGGAGATAATTATGATATTGAGCTATTAGTCCTGTGCAAGTGAGCGTAATTGAGCGAGAGTGTCTCTGGTATCCCTCTGTTCTGTGTGGGTCGATCTCTCAGTCATATTTTCACATTAGTCACTCCTGTTCGTTGGATCCATGTTCATTTATGCTAACAGTGCGTTTTTAACCTATCTCCAACCAGTTCTGGTTGATGCAAGACTGCGACGATTTGTCTTTGGTAAGTTGTTTGTATTCATAAGTACCCCCCTCCTTCTCTCTCTCTCTTTCTTTCCTCCTTCTCTCTTCTCTTCCTCCTCTCTCTATCTTCTTTCTTTCTTATCTCTCTCTCTCCTCTCCTCCTCTTCTTCTCGTGTCTTCTCTCTCTTCTTGTCCCTCTCTCTCTCACCTCTCCTTCTCTCCTCTTTTCCTCTCTCTCTGCTCTCATCTCTCTCTCTTCCATCTTCCTCTCTCCTGTCTATCTCTCTCTCTCTCTCTCCTCTCCTCTCTCTCTGCGTCTCTTCCTCTTCTCTCGTCTCAATCTCTTCTCTCTACCCGTCTCTCTCTCTTCCCTCTTCCTTCCTTCCTCCCTTCTTCACTTTCCTCCCTTTCCACTCTCCCCTTTCTTCACTCCTCTCTTTCCCTTTCTATTTCTGTTTTTACTCTCCCTCCCTTATTACCCCCTCTTCGCTCTCCCTTCCCTCCCTCCTTCCCTCCACCCTCCTTTATCTTCTCCTCCAATCTCGCTCCCTCCTTCTGTCGTCCATCCTCTTCCTCCATTCATCATCCCCTATCTTCCCTTCCCTCTCTCTCTCTCTCTTTTTCACCTCTCACTCCAGCCTTATCCACTCTCCCCCTCTCACTATCTCCTCCCTCCCTCCTTCCCCTATCCCTCCTTCCTCCCAATCCTCTTTCCTCCTCCCTTCATTCCCTCACCCATCCTCCCTCATCCTTCTTCGCTTCTCTTCCTCCTTCCCTCCTCTCTCCCTTATCTACGTGTGGTACTCTCTCACACTGCGGTCTATCTCTTCTGCTCCTCCTTACCTACTCCTCGTCTCCTTCGCTCATACGCAGTCTAACGCGCCGACACAAACGACGGAAGATAAAAATTTACCATTCCCTCCCTTCTTTTCAGGAACATTCAATCGCCTACTGCAGCGAAGAATTAATACGAGTAAAATCTTCGAACCGCGCGAGTTATTTTGCGAGAGTGACAAAATGCAAATGAGATGAAAGAAGATATTGAAAATAAACTGAGGTAGTATGCTGGAAGATATGAGAGAAGAACAGAATAATAATGAAGAGGTTTAGGTGTGGCGATCTTGATAAAACGTGGTAAGGGTAAGCAGAAGATTGATAAATAGAAAGTATACCTCGTAAGCGTGCGCTACACTCAAAGGCATATGATTTAATTGTTTTATTCCTAACAAACTATTGCGGGCGAACAGATGGGTCGGCGAGCATTATAATATCTATGTAGTATACGATAATGAAAGAGTTGAATTTTACTACGAAATAGGAACATTCGCAATGATCTTTTGCCTCACAAAAAGACGTCCTCTAGCCTCCAAGAGCCCCTTTTACCACTGAAAAAGGGAGGAGCTTTCAAATGCTAATCGACATCTGTCATGCACGAGACACTAAGTGTCATGCAGCTGAGAATTCTCTGATAGTCGAATGTCAGTACACGGGTCAGCATGCTGTGATCATGAAATATCTTCTTAGGCTCATGAGTGTATATTCTTAAGCCTTCTATTTCCTAGAGTGGTCTTATATTGAACAGTAGCATGAGCATTACATAAAATTATTAACAGAATAGATGTGAACAGTTGGTTTTCAGTGGATATTGAGAACTGCATGTCACCTTTACTTGCAGGCTTCTCACACAGGAGCACTCAGTGGGGGGTATTAGTGAGTTGTCGTATATTTATTTGAATGGGTTTATGCTCCGGGGCGCAGGCACGAGAACTTGGGAGTCTAAATAGTAGAATATTGAAGATCCATGCTGTAAGCAGGCCCGAGACACTTGATCGGTCATCGCTTTCAACTTATCTTGGGTAACTTTTCCTGTTTCCTATCTGATTGCTTTGTTCTCCGTCTGTGTGTTATCTGTCATACGTGCTACTGAAAAAGTATTCACATCTATTGTGTAATTAACGTTTATTAGAGATTCCAGGTCTGGTTATATCTGCACATTCTGTCCTTGCAGCGCTACAGATAATTCAATGCATGCACATGACATCATCCTACACTGCTCATCTCAAAGCATAGGCTACATAGTAAGAGTACAAAGAATCACTTATGAACATCCTGAGTAGTTTATGGGAGCTAGTCATATGACTCTGCACTCGTACTTCTCTCGTGCTCTCTGTGCTTCGTCTATCCAGACGTCTTATACCCTCTCTCTCTTTCTTTTCCTCCTCTTCTATCGTCGCTCTCACTCCTCACTCTCATATAACTTCTCCTCTCTATCATATCTCTATCTATTTCTCACCTATTCTCATCTGCGGTTATCCATCTATATTACATTAGCGCACTTAGATAACTTATATTTGCTGACAATAGTGGGATACATATACATATAATATAGATATAACATAATAAATGACGCTATATGAAGAATTTCACATCACATTAATGAAGTAATTAAGTAAAGATATTGATCATTAATCCTGTTATCTGTCAGCATTCGTATTCTTATGTAATCTTCTATTTTATTATTTCATATGTAAGTTACTAAATTATGATTTCTTCTTAACCAAGTGGAGGAGTTTATAAAAAGAATATGAATGTTGATTATAATAATATTTTATAGGTTTAAATCTTGTACCTTAATTATTGTGCATTTGAGGAATTAAATCTTTTAGAAGCACTGTTATTTTTAATTATACCTGAAAAGTACAATTAGGGGTTGTATCAAACGAGTATATAACAGTATTGTTAGATCAAATTGTGCGAATGTTTATAGTTAGAAAAATAACTGACTTAGTGACGGTGGCGCAAATTTGTAATATCTTTCTTGTTCTCCTTCTCTTTCTCAGCTTGTACTTGTTTACATCAATGCTTTAATCGACTTTATACTCTCATCTATGTTTGCCACATTCTATCAATCCATACCACTCCATCCATCAGACATGACCAGCCATACATTGTAACTGAGGAATGAACTCAGTTTATATCTATGTGATAAGCAAATACGTGAGCACTTGTTCGTCCTTTCTGATTCCTCTCTCTATCTCTATATACGCTGGGTTTCATTTGACTTGTATTAGTCGTCTGCATTTTTAGTCGCGGTCTTAATTCCTAGCGCTCTTGAGTCTTGATCTAAGTAGACTGGCTGTTTTACCTACTTAATTAATGTGTGTGCGTGTGCGTGCTTCGGTGTTTTTCATATTTGTTTCCGGTAGCGTTGTGTGAGTTTGGAGGAAAGGTGCATGACATATAAGAGATAGTTTTTTCTGAATAAATTGCCATGACTGCAATTCTTCTTGGCGTGCGCTTGTGTAGATGACTGTATGTCGTACATACACTATGATGACTTATTCTCTCTTCCGCTTTTGTATTCGCCCTTCGGCCAAGTACCATACTCCTATTTCTTTCCTTTACGTCTCAGTTCCTTCGCTTCAACTCCATTATCCTCTATTTTGGTCTTCTTTTCAGAGGTGTTATAATTGTTGATTTCCCTTATGCCTCTCATTATATATTCATACGTCCTCTATAGGGGGCTGATATAAATGATATGAATTGTTTAGTGCTTTTTGGTTTTAAAAAATGTTTCAGTCCCTTTCATTAATCATGGAAAAGATTTGCTGACACCCTGACCCAAAACAATCCTATCCTTCCCCACAGAGTCTTCTTCATGCGCAAGTTCGATTTCGACGAGGCGAGTGCCAACGGAGTCAGCAGCATTGTCTATGTTATTTCGGCTTTCGCATCTCCTATTCCTGGGATATATTGTGGACCGACTGGGCGCAACATCCCTTTGGGTTTTCATTGCCGTGTTGGTGTCGCTCGGCATGTCATGCCCTCCTCACACTTTCACCTATCCTAACACCCTTTATTGCCATTGGTAAAAAATAAGATGGCCTACAGTTATATGTTTATTCAGTAGCTTGAAAAAGAAAAATTAAAGTAATTAAACCTTTTTGCTTTCTCTCTCTCCAGTAGTGTGTTAGGCTTAGCATACTCTCTCCTGGCTAGTGCACTTTGGCCAATGGTGTCTCTCATCATCCCAGAACATCAACTTGGGAGTGCATATGGCATGTAAGAACATACGGAACATTTTGGTATAGTTTCATATAAATGTTTTAGATTTTCTTTTTTGTTTCTTTAGGTAAGGAAAAGGAAGATTGTGATTTCAATGTATTATACTGTATCACATTACATATTAATATAGTTTTTTATTGAATGATCAAAGGCTTTTATTATATTATCTGTTCTCCACCTCCAGGATGCAGAGTATCCAGAATCTTGGCCTGGCCTTAATCAGCATGTTGACTGATTGTTGACTTGAAAGGCTACCTTGTCCTTGAGATGTTTTACATGATATGGCTTTGTGGTAAGTGTTTGATGGCTATATCTTTGGCTTATTATAAATAAGAACATCGTGTTCCTTTACAAAGTTCATGTTTACTTATTTATAGGTTTGAACTTGGTGATTCCTATTTGAGAAATAGTTTCAATTTGATATAATTGATAGGAAGTGTAAGGACTTTGTAGAATCAGTCTGATTATATTTAGAGGTCATTTTGGGCTAGGTGTCGGCAGTAGGGTTGATGTAAGCCTACAGTGACATCATTAAAGCTTCAGGGTCACCTAGGTACAGGATAAAAATCAGTGCCCCTATATAATTTTTGGGCTCAATTAAACTATTAAGTAGTTGTTCCCATGCTGCAGTATACATGCCTCTATTTGAAGGGATATCAAGTGAACATCTTAATTTTAGTGATTTTATTGATCTTGAGTTTGGAGAAGTCAATAATGTTAGTTTCAGTGCTGTTATGTAAATACTGTTAGTCACTAATCAGAAATACTTGTAAAAACAAAAAACAGAATCTGGTTGATGATACAGAGCTTCAAGGGTTATGTGACAAAATTTTTGGAAACATCACTGAAGGAAAATGTACTTAAATAGAACCAAATGGATTATTTGACTGTTTTTATACAAAACTTTTAACTTTAATATACAGAAACTTGAATAGGGTATTTTCATGGGGATTGAGGGTCCATTACTTGCTGAATATTCACAAACTTCAGTTGTTTGTTCCATGATGGTGTGTTATCAGGTTTTGAAGAAAATCTTTGAAATAAGAAAGTTTTCTCCTGTAAGAGCATTAACCCCCCAAAACAGGGCTTCTTGCAGTCACCCCCCCCTTTGAGGCTGGTGCAATATGAATATTTTCTTTATTTCATAGGCATGGTTGTACTTAAAATTGTGCTGAACTGAAATTTGTATGTTAGGAGTTCTCATGCATCATGGAGAGGATGACATAGACAGTGTGTAAGTAGGATTGATGGCAGGAGAGGAGACATGTTTGTGGGGAGTGGGGAGTGGATAGGATGAAGCAATCCCAGTGTCTATTGACTACATGTTTATAGACATACCCCAGGATTGAGGGAAACCTGTAAAATATGCCGCCCGCCATCCATTTTTTCATAACTACTGGGTTAATCCACTGATGCAGGAGGAGAATGTATACAACCCCTGATCATTATTATTTTGGTTTATTAATTTTATTTACACTCAGATGGCTCAAGAAGTGCTTTGTCACCGTGTAGCCAATTACCAGGCTCAACTCATTACACTATTGCTTAATTAGGCCAGGAGTTTTTGAAAGGAAAAGTTTTAATTTTTATGAGTAGTATTGTTTATAATGTTTTAGTAATAATATTACCAACAATAATAATAATGATGATGATGATGATGATGTAAGTAATTGTATTACAAATAAAAACTTTCACAAAACTTCAGTGATCGGGTAAAGAAGTAAGGTCAGATAGCACTGATACTGGATTCCTCGGTAAGTAAGCACTTATATAGCCATCTATGTATAAGCAAAATAGGCAAAACAAAACTATTGTAGACAATCCATATAGCCATCCCCAGTTGGTTGATACCTACTCGGCAATTTTTCATTTTGTACCACTTCTAGTACCACCGCTTAATCGCGTGTAATGAGGCAAACTCCCATGTGATATCTTTATGAATTTTCCATGATTCTGAAATACATTAACCATTAAGTAAATACATTTATAAGCTGAAAATAATATTTTCCGTGTGGCTTCCAAATCGGCGTGCTGGTGAGTCCGACAAAATCAGAGCACTAGCTCTGATCTAGTGTCACACTAGCGGGATGCCTGGCAATGATTACTTTTCCGGGTGTCTTATATGTGGGATACCCATTGTAAGTGGGTTAATAATGAGAAAAGTGAATTGTGAGTAATCTTCATTTTATTTGAATGGGAAGAAAAGACCTTTGCTAACATTAATATCTCCCTCGTGAGCATTGAAAACAATTTCTCCTCTTATTACAATCACATATACAACTTCAACATTCTCTTCATCTCCACATAAGTTGCTATTGCGGCGACAGTTGTCATCTACGTGGTGGACAGTGAAAGGGGAGGCTACTTGATGAAGTCACCAGCTCAGAAGTTGGCTGCTGAGAAAGAGGGACAAATAAATGTTGGAGTGAAGATATCCGAAGGAGGGCAGGATGTGGAGTGAGGGTTGTCAGAGGTCCAGCCTTGTGATGGACTGTAATGGGTGCGTGGAGTTTCAGTCTAGTCTGGGGTGCTTGTTTTACCTGTAATCATGTGTTTTGGTGTCGGAAAGGGTTATATGGGAGTGAACGGTAACTTGTTTTTTTGTGGGTTGATGTAGCAATTATTTGGGATATGGTATAAGTAAGAAAAATAATGTGGAAATTGATTAGAGTATTCAAGAGCATAGCACACACCTTTATTTTTTTTATTATATTATTATTTATTATTTA